TACTATCGCAATTGACAAGTGACGCAGTGCACCCGCGTCGCGAGCCGCTTGCAGAGCGTACGCATAGGGGAAAAGAGGGAGTTAGGGAGGAGTTATAAACCACATAATGTGCGTACGCCAGCGCCTTGCAGTGTAAACAAGCGGCACTTCCTGGCTGAATATTGCAAAACCGCAAGTAAAAGTATAGTTGTCTTTGACTTACCTGCGAAACATCATAGATTTTTGGTGATTGAACTGTAGGAGGAAGAGGAGGGGGAGCAGGAGGAGGAGGGTTGGGCCTGCTGACTAAATTTCATATTGCATTTTTATCTTACATAGGGTCACTTTTCAAAGTTCGAAAACCTTAAACTTACTAGTATTCGCATAAAAATTCCTTGCTATGAGATTATTCCGAATCGGTGGTAATCGCCATGGTTCTGCTGGCAAACTCGACAATGAACGTCCTTTGCCATCCACTTGTGCATCAACGATTAGGTCCGACTGCGATGTTGGCACGGAAAAGGTCTTGGCAAGGTCGCCTCGCATCTTCTTCAACTTTCGTATGGGTGCTGCTGAATCTTCTTGTGGAGTCGAACCAGTCTGTCCACTACCTTGTCGTTTTCGATAGAAGGTCCTAAATAAAATACTTAGGGGCTCAAAGAGCTGTTGAACATTAGTCTAGGGAAGTAAGTTAAGTTTCTTCTAGTTATCTTGTAATACAATTTTTTTTATTACTACTGATCTACTTACATGTTTCAGTTCAAACTTAATTACTGGGTAACAATTTAAGATTTCATAAACCAATAAAAAGTATTTCATTTTTGTTTTTTTTCGCAAAAGAGAAAAAGGGAATCAATTAAACTGCAAGTTTATTTACGCTCACTAAGCTTCATTTCATGCAACGCATGTACATGGTAGACCATAAAAATTTTCATAGAGAGTGTGAGAAAGTCCAAAACCAATGTATAGGCAAACTTTCGACTCCCGTCTCCACCCATCTAGGCAGGGTGTTGAACACGAATATCAACTTCAAATACCATGAAATTATCAAAAAAAGTGACACAAAGAAATTCTTTTGGATTGACAAGGACGAGTGGCAGAGGTTTCGATATCAATGTTTCGAGGTGCGAGGGGAGGGGAGACGGGGAGGATGAATGGAAGGTAACTTACATCGTTATATATCTGTAAGATTTTTTTAACGAAAGATGCTACCTGA